AAAAAAAAAAAAAAAAAAAAAAAAGGAAATGCCAAGTACACCAATATACTATCTCATGTTAATCTTCAACGGATATATTTAACACATTACAAACTGCCTTGTATAACCGCACAGGGTTGTTGTGATGACTGTGTGAAGATTAGACCAAATGGTGCCCAAGATAAAATTATTCCCAACTAGTGGGCTAAGAAAATACTGTATGACACTGGCTTTAGGGCATGGAAACAGCTCTTCAGACTTAATTCAGGCTTAAGTAAATAACAGCAATTATATATACTGACAATTCATTGACGCCTTTTCCCAAGTGAACAGCTGTGGTAGACTTCTTCAATATGTAGTAAACAAGGGTTGCAGTATAAGTCCTGTGAGGCCCACAGAGTGTCACTTAGATGACTTAGTTGATAGACCTCCTTCAATGGAGATGTTCGTTGCTGTTCTGAGACATTGAGAAATGAGACTAAATGGCATGGGAATGGGCCAAAATACTTCCAGGGGCAGAGAGCTAATGCAAAGGAGTGAATTTATTAACTAGTAATTCTTGGCTACTGCTAGGAGGGCCCTGTCCGCTCTCTACACTTGCCAAAAGCATTCAATCTTATGTTTAAAACTTCTGCACAGGGGCCAAAATCTGCCAGTTAGCAACTTCTGGCTAAGGCATATTCTAGCACTAATCAGAGTATGAAACAAATGCTTCAATGTGTTATGTTCCTTGTGTTGCTAAACAACACAATGTGAAGGGTATACTATATATTATACAGGATAGTTTGGGAATGAAAACATGGATTCTGGAGTTAAGCTATGCGAGTTCAAATGCCAATTGCGCATTTCTTTAATAATGTAAATGTGGGCAAGCTACTTTTGGCCTTCTACTTGACTTATCTACATAGAGGCTGATCCTTTTGTTACAAAGATTAAATGAGATAATACAAGTGTTCAGGCCAGGACTAGAACACAGTAATGAGTTAGCCAGTTTTACATTCATAAGCTAAGGGGCTGAGAGCAGCTGACATGTTTAGATTCATTGGTCCTACCAATGAAGGAACAGAAGTTATTCAGAGGGCAGAGCTAAAAGAAATGTTTCTAAACAGGATCCTCATATTGTTTTACATCCTATTTTATTTCTGAAATTAAATCTAAAGTAAGGAAAGAGCACTAAATGAGGAAGGACAACGTGGAGAACAAAATTTTCCCTAGATGACTTCCACTGTGTTACTTACAGGGAAGGCTTGCAACAGAGAAAGGAAAAATGAAGTTCTGGTGACACTCCTGGGACAAATCAAGTGCTGACTCAGGTTCTCCTGTCATGTGTCTGGTAATAGGGCTAGTAGTTCACTGTGCCTGAGCTTGTTTTTAAATGGTGCCAGTATTTCCATTTACATCAGGTCTGCCAAAATGCTCATTGGTCTTTAAGCTAAATGAGTTTGGTTTCTCTTCACATATTCATTTTCACTGGCAGCATATACAGAATGTAAAAGTGAAATAGTGAAGTAAACTACACATAGAAAATATTCAGCTTAGGGAAAAGCAGAATAAAATTTTCTTCCCCAAGTTTAAACATGGTAATGATGTGACCCTTTAGGTATGGTAAAACTATCTGACTAAGTGAGAAAATGGAAATTAATGTCCTGGTAACTGCAATTAATCCAAGCTTTCTGAGGGCTAAATCCATTTATTGCTCTATCCTTTCTAAGAAGAAAATCCTAACAGTGTGGGATTAGTGTGTCATTCCCGGTGGTAGCTACTGTTGCAGTATTTTTGTATCAAAGTTGTTGAAACCCTATTAATATTTCAAGGTTAAAAAAATACCCAGGAAACCAAATTGGAAAAAGAAAAAAAATTTTAATTAGAAACTGAGTTTACATATGGTTAAATGGTTACTAAAAGCTCAGTTGTAACCACTCCTAATACCACTAGCAGGACCTCAAGGGAGCCAAGAGCTCTTCCCTTTTCCCCTGTTAATTTCCAATATAATGTAGCCGTACAATTATTTCATGTCACATTTAAGGAGAACAAGGACCAATTTATATAAAGTGCAACTGTATATCCTTAAACATTCAACATAAACACACTGCCAAAACTCACTGCATATGCTGGCATTGGAGGACTTAAATTTCTAAATATTGTTTATTGCACCCAGAGTGCTGGTTAAAATGCACTTTCTGAGGATCAAATGCAATATGATATGAGAGTATTTTTAACACGGTGAAGTACACACATATTATAAAATGCCATTTAATTGGGAAGGATTTTTCCATCATTGCAAGTCATAAATATAACGTTTAAAAGAATACTAGCAGCTTTTACCTAGGCTCCTAAATGCTTGTGAATCTGAGACTGACTGGACCACCCAGACTCAGGGCAAAGGTAAATGTTACCATATCATCTTTATAAATAATCTTTTTCGTCAAGTTGGCCTTTCCTACTGTAGCCAGGTGAGAGCTTAAGATGTCAGTCCTCAATATCTTCACAGAAAGCCTTTATGAGCAGTTTGGGGAAAGATGATGGTAAGGAGAAGAGGCAGATATGAGGAGGAATGATTAGGGGAAGTGTCATTCATGATTCTGTGCTTGAGGGACTAAGAAAAATTTATGGTCAGTGAAACACAGTAGTGTACCCTTAAATGCCTTATAAAAAACCATCCATCTGGTATGTGCTTTTGACTGTGTGCAGTAATAATGCTTTTGGGGACTCAGATGAGCAGAAAACACCAATCAACAAGGACTCTGAAAGGAAAGCTCCAAAAATGAGAAATCCTTCAATGCCATTCCCATTACTGTTCTCACCAAGTCAATGGCTATAAAACACTTTTGATTATTTATCTCCATCAAAGTAATTTGATTTGAGATAATTACACAATCTCAGGCTCCGCATGTAAAAATGTCAGAAGTGGCTGAAGAAAGAGCAGCAGCTTCATGCTGAAGACACCCATTTCCTCTGACTCCAGAACTCCATCATCTGGTCTCAAGATTTTCCCCTCTGAGGAAATAGCTGTAGAGGTAGCCCAGTTCAACCTTGCTGAGACAGTGAACTTTGCAACCATACTGACACCTACTGACTTGCTGAGAACGCTGAGGAAGTGTGCTTTGCAATGGTTAAGTCCACAGCTCCTGAGATTGCCTTGCAAATCATCTTGGGCATGAAGTAGAGTGGTGCATCAGAAAAACATGACGATTCTGGCAAGAGGTGGCTTTTAGGAACAAAACAGATGGCTCTCCTTCCTCCTTAAAGTCTTTTCTCCCCACCCTCAACATTTCATGAGAACATCAGTTCATAAATATTACCATCTTTTAATATTACCACCCTCCTGAAGAAGGAAAATGAAGGTTTTACAACTACATGTACTCAAGAATAAATATCATCAGGAAAGTTCTGTACTAACAGGCAGGTTATTAAGACTCCCAAGAAATCCTCATAAGCTTTTCAATCTCTGAAGAAAATCCTGAGATCATTAGTAAGCACCACCTACAGATGAGTTTTGCTAGTTGCCAGTTTTTCACCTCCTTTGTTTTCTCACTCCTCTTAAATTGCATTGAGAAATTAGAGTGGAAATAAGTTCAAAGAATCCTAAGCCTTACAGAGCTAGATGTCTCTTAATTTTATATTTCATATAGATGAAGCTATTCTAGCCAAGGATTTTGCATAATTAAAATAATTGAAAATTCTCAGCCTTTAAAAATCCATTACATCTTGATAAATAAAACCTGCATACTCATTCTGTAGTTTGTATAATAAAAAAATGTACTGTGTTTTCCAAATTTTGTTAACATCTAGCCTGGTTAAGAATCATGCATATTCTTGTCTCTCAGAAGGATAAACTGAGCTGGCCCTTGGGCAACTACTTCAGAGTTTAGTGTTGGAATGAGAGCAGCAAATGTCAGTGTTTCAAAGATCCCGCCCTAATCCAGTTCCCAGGTTAGGAGGTCAGGAAGAAAAAACTAATTCCATTTTTCAAACATATATGAAGCAAAGTCTTTTCCCACCAACAGTTGAGTCGTAAATGCAGTCTGTGCAACAGCACATACTTTTGGCTATGTTCACACAGTAAACCATAGAAACACACTGGCTCTGATGGCTACCTGCAGAAGACTGACTTATCCAGTGTTATTTAGTGTAGCCACCGGTGGCTTCTTCTGTCAGCAGGCTTTTAGAGATGCTTACCGTATGCCCGCAGTCCAGGAAGGACATGCCCAGTGCAATCAAACACTGCCAACCCTGAAAGACAAAATATGGTCATCATTCACCAGGCTCTTTGAAGAGCCAGGACTGCTCACACAGCACTTCTCAAATGCAAATCTGCTCCCTTCCTTGAACATCCAGCTGTGCCCATCTTCTACCACCAAGGGTTGCACAAGTCATTCTCTCAACCCCACTCCCTCTTCAAAAAATCATCTGCCTCCCTCAACAAAATTTGTCCATACATTTTCAATACTGAATTTCTCTGTTCTTACTGCTTTGTGTCTGCGGTTTTTCTTTTCTTTCTTTTTTTTTTTTCTTAATAATCTTTGTTGGTTTTTTTTTTTAACTTTTTAGCACAAGGTCTCCCTGATCGCTCAGGCTGGAGTATACTGGTGCAACCATAGCTCACTGAAGCCTTGAATTCCTGGGCTCAAGAAATCCTCCCTCCTCAGCCTCCTGAACTGCCAAGATTATCGGCCACACCACCATGCCCAGCTAATTTAATTTTTTTTGTAGAGACCGGGTCTTGCTATATTGTCCAGGCTGGTCTTGCACTCCTAACCTCAAGTAACCCTCCTGGCTCAGTCTCCAAAAGCACTGAGATTACAAGCATGAGCCACCTCATCCAGCCTGTAGTTTGTTTCTTTTATCCAACTGTGAATTCCCTGAAGGGCACCTTTCCTCAGTCCTCCCCGTGATGAGAATGACTAACAAACTAATACAATTGGTGTAGTCTCCTACGCTGCTCTATGAAGTTCCTGTTAAACAGCAGTAACCCACTCTAGAATCAGCCCTCACCTCTAAAAATGGGTCTTCAGGCCAGGTGCAGTGGCTCACTCCTTGTAATCCCAGCACTATGGGAGGCTGAGGTGGGTGAATCATCTGAGGTCAGGAGTTTGAGACCAGCCTGGCCAACATGGTGAAACCCTATCTCTACTAAAAATACAAAAATTAGCTGGGCATGGTAGCACGTGCATGCAGTCCCAGCTACTCAGGAGGCTGAGGTAGGAGAATTGCTTGAACCCAGGAGGCAGAGGTTGCAGTAAGCTAAGATCGTGCCACTGCACTCCAGCCTGGGAAACAGAGCAAAACTGTCTCAAAAATAATAATAAAAAAAATGGGTCTTCAACAAGCTCACTAGCCTTAGGCTGAATGAGGATAAATTGGCAACTTCATATCCAATTTGCATTATGAAAGGATTCCCCTAATCTACAGTGAATTTTTAAAAACAACTCCTGTCAAGGACATACTCAGTTACTTGGTTTTCCTTGAAGTTAAGTTCCTCAATCATACAGTCTTTGTGTGCCCAAAGTTTATTGGGAAGAAAAAATGAGATACATCAATCTAGGAAATAATTTTTCAACATCTACTAAAGTGATTTTCTCAGTAAAGTATCTAATGTGTGGCATGCTGGCATGGAGAAGTGTACTAGAGATCAACAGCAGGTTTCCAGCCTCCAACTTCAGCCATTCTCTGCAGCAAAAATGGCATAAATTCTGCTATTCATTATCCCCAACCCCTGTGTTTTTTTCAGAGAAACCTGTATAAACAGGGAAATGGATCTGATGTTATTTTGGTTGTTTTCATTAATATAAGCAATGTTAAAGAAGATTTGGAAAATAGAGAATAATATATCTATAATCCTACCTTCCTAAAACAATTATATTGTTAAAACGGTAAGAGAAGGTATGCAAGGATTTTTATGTTGTTTTTCTGTTAAAACAGTGCCTAAAACAATTATATTACAATTTTTATATAATTTATCCTAGACTTTAAATAAATTTTTTATAATTGGAATATAAATTGTACATACCTTTTTCATGTAGCTATGGTTTTATAACCATTTTTTAAAAATGACTTTAGAATGAGAGTCAAGGGGAAACTATCACTGTTTACTTATTTCCTTGGACAGCCAGTAGGTGATGGAGCTGAGTGGGCTGTACGCCTGTATGTGTCCCACCCAAATCTCTATATCATACTGTGTGCCCCATTCTCCAACTCTGTCTTGAACCGTTCTCCACTATTTGTACTGCTACCCTTCTTTTAATTCCTCAAACATACTATACTCTCTTGTTAGGAATTGTTAAGAATGGAAACTACAGGAGTGACAGAAAAATGACAAATCGAAGTAACCAAAGTGAATTTTATGGTTAGAAATATTATTTTGTAAACAGCTGATTTGACAATTCCATATAAATTGTCTCGATAACCTGGAGGCAGATTGTCATGTGCTCTTTTGGGTCTGTTCACTTCTTTTTTTTTTTTTTTTTTGTAGAGATGGGGTCTTACTATGTTGCCCAGATTGGTCTCTAATTCCTGGACTCAAGCAATCCTCCCACCTTAGCTTCCCAAAGTACTGGGATTACAGGCATGAGCCACTGTGCCAGGACTGGTTCTGTTCATTTCTGAATGCCAGTGAACCCCGCCTCTACCATCCCCGGTACCTATCCCCTGCTTCTCCAGATGGGACTTACCAAGTAGAACACAAAGCCCAGATAAGCCATGCTGACCACACCAGCCACCACATATAACACCACATGCCCTAGTTCCTGAACATAAACCAATACAAAGTACATATTGATGGAACAGATGATAAGGACCAAGATTCCTCCTGCAATCCGCCAGCCTCTGTAAAAGAAATCAGCACAGTCACTGGTGGAATAACCCAAGGTGGCCACAGACAGAAATGCAAACTGTATCCTGTGAGATAAACAGGACAAGAATTAAAGGCAGTTCAAAATGAACAGAAAAATTGTTCTTAATTGGAAAAAATGATTCTTCATAAGTCTAAGTTAAATCAGCCAAAATTAGAGACTGATAGAAAACGGGGGAAGACACCATTAAATAATCCCTAATATTTAAGTCCCTAGAGATCCAACAAGGCCTAGAAATGCAACAAGTCACTTCAGATACCTCATATCCTTTAAAGGTATATATAAAAGGTACTAACTTATGCCTTTCTTGTTAAGATCATTTAACAAAGAACTAAGGTGCCTCAAACTTCAGTGGCTGAAGCTGAAGAGTTATGCCATAAAAACTGAGTTTTTTCCCCCCTCCAAATGAAAGATGTGCTTTCTCTTCCTTTACTATATTCACAGTTTCCATTCTCTAAGCCAAAGAAGAAGCGGCTAGCAATCACCTCTCAAAGCATATCGTTTCCCTCTGTCTCATGTCTGACTGGCCTACTACATGAAGACACCCTTTCCCCATATCAGCTTCCCCTTGGGAACTAAGAGGAGTACACTCACAGTCCATTGGCAAAGTCACTCATTACTGGCCGCAAGCTTGTAAATGTGAGGACGGGTATGAGAGCAAAGGGGAGCTGGAAAAGAAAGAAGATCAGATGGGATTACTATGGGTCCTTGTATCACCCCAGATAATAGCACAATGAATGAAAGGGAAACATAAATGCTGCCTCGACTTCTACTTAAGAAATCATGATTCCTTTCACCCCAACACACTCAGGCATTCTACTGAATTCTGTAGAGCTGTCATTAACCTAGCATGCAAATCTTTCTATGGGACTTGTCTCCTTAACGTCCACAGGACCTGGTACAGTGTCCTATATGTTCATTTAATGTTTACTTGCATTAATGAACTATAATTTTGTGTTTTCTATATAAGTAAAGCTCATAGTTCCCATTCAACAGGTTTAAAAACCAAATCATTTGTAAAATCCTTTTAGATGCCAAGGATTTCATATACATTTACTGCAGACCACAATCATGCCTCTGTCTTCCTCTCAATATCCCCCCAGCACCCAGCCAGGCTTCATACCCAAGGGCAGTACATAATGCTGCCTGAATAACTAGGATATGAGTTTCCCCAGCTTCCTCCTCACCTGTAAGCTCTGTAGAACATTCAGGAAGTCATTCATCCCTGTTAGACTCTCTACATCTTGGAAGACAGAAACAAGCAGAGTGGGGATAATGGCAATAGAGCGAGTCAGAACCACTCGGGCAAAGCGTGACCACTTTAGGTTCAGAAATCCCTGGAAGAAAACATAGGAACAGGAAACAGAAAAAAATCTAGGGAGGTTCAGGACAGAACTCAAAAGAATGAGATTAAGAAGTGACAAAAGGGGCCAGGTGCAGTGGCTCACGCCTGTAATCCCAGCACTTTGAGAGGCCGAGGCGGGCACATCACCTGAGGTCAGCAGTTCGAGACCAGCCTAGCCAACATGGTGAAACCCTATCTCAACTAAAAATACAAAAATTAGCCAGGCGTGGTAGCGGGAGCCTGTAATCATAGCTACTCAGGAGGCTGAGGCAGGAGAATCACTTGAACCCAGGAGATGAAAGTTGCAGAGCCAAGATCGCACCATTGCACCTTAGCGTGGGCAACAACAGCGAGACTCCATCTCAAAAAAAAAAAAACAAAAGGCCGGGCGCGGTGGCTCAAGCCTGTAATCCCAGCACTTTGGGAGGCCGAGGCGGGTGGATCACGAGGTCAAGAGATCGAGACCATCCTGGTCAACATGGTGAAACCCCATCTCTACTAAAAATACAAAAAATTAGCTGGGCATGGTGGCGCGTGCCTGTAATCCCAGCTACTCAGGAGGCTGAGGCAGGAGAATTGCCTGAACCCAGGAGACGGAGGTTGCGGTGAGCCGAGATCGCGCCATTGCACTCCAGCCTGGGTAACAAGAGCGAAACTCCGTCTCCAAAAAAAAAAAAAACAAGGTAACAAAAGGGTTGTGTCATCTCCCTTTATTCTATACTAGCACATACCTCCATGACAAACTGGCCAGAATAGGTTCCTGTCATGGTGGAGCTCTGTCCTGCAGCCAGGATCCCCACTGCCCAAATGTAGAGTGCAGCAGGCCCAAAGTAACATCCCAGCACAACACCCTGTGAGAGGCAAAAAATAAGGATATGATTGTATCAATAATCTGCTCAGACAACATTCAAAATAGCAGTTCCTTGTAGCATTTCTCCCTTCTTCTTTGCTATGTACCACCCATGTCAAGTGCTGTGCTGGGCACTGTCCCAGAAGCTAGGCTCAAGTCCTGACCTCATTCTAGAAGCTTTCAATCTAAACTTTACTGAATGCTCCTTCATTTCTCTGCCTAGCCCTTTCTCTTCTCCAAGCTCCTAAACCTCCATCTTAAATATTTTTTTTTAAAAAAAAAAGGCCGGGCATGGTGGCTCATGCCTCTAATTCCAGCACTTTGGGAGGCCAAGGCGGGCAGATCACGAGGTCAGGAGTTCGAGACCAGCCTGACCAACATAGTGAAACCCCATCTCTACTAAAAATGCAAAAATTAGCCTGGTGTGGTGGCACATGCCTGTAGTCCCACCTACTCGGGAGGCTGAGGCAGGAGAATCGCTTGAACTCGGGAGGTGGAGATGGAGTTGAGATCACGCCACTGCACTCTAGCCTGGGAGACAGGGCAAGACTTCATCTCAAAAAAAAAAAA